GGGGGGGGGGAAGAACAAAACAAATTGTCTTGGAGAGATAGAATGTAAAATAGAAGAGTTAAATAAGAAAAAGGTCTTCAGGAATACAACCTGCAAATATGCATATACAAAATCAAGAAAATTAAAACCACAAGCACGTTCACTAGAGTGTTTTGCAGCAGAGAAAGTCCTTGGTACAACAAACACAAGCTACAATTACTAATATAATGTTGTAACACATAGTTACAAATGTGTAGAGAGAAGTAATTACATGTGAGGCTGGTGAGATGCAGAACTAGAGCTACAGGTGAAGATTCCCACAGAACTAAGAGAAATAACAATTCTGAACACAAGGACAGCAGTACTGAATACACAGAAACATGAACCCTTGGATATCCTACAGATATACACAGAATATGTATACATATTATTGGAGCTGTCTCTACTCGTCTCTGGATCAAGAAAAACTGATAAATTATGAAACTGAGTTCACAGCATTGACAGAGATGGAAGAAGCAACAAGTCAGAATAATGTAAGACTACAGCTATCAAGAAGCAAGTCAAATAGCACAACGGGACAGCAATTCAGGGAGTTCTCCACCTCTATAGGTGTCTGCTTCCTGGAAGCCAAAATCCAAGCACAACAGGAAACAACACCTTGACCTAGCCTGAAGAAACACCCAGTTGCAAATTCAGAAAGTGAATATTTACTATTGGGTTTTATGCTCAAGGGACAGATGTGATAACAAAAAGCAATGGTATGACACAAGCAGTTAGAAAATATTATTTTAATAAAATGAGAAAATTAATCAATTCCCTATCATTAAAAGTAAAACTGTATGGACATTATTTGAGGGACCACTGTTTTCCAGAATGCATATGTACATTTCTGACCTGCTCCTGAACCAAGAATGCAAGAAATAAATTCTAGAGTTAAGTGGCAAAGTGATAGACAACATGCAAGACAAACAGGACAAACAGAAAAAAAAAAAATCTTCCCAATTTTGAAATCTGACATTTAAGACAACTTTTATGCACCACCATGCAAGTAACAAAAGGAAACATGAAAATGATAGAAATTTATCTTGAAGAGCAGATAGAGGCAAGAATGAAACAAATTCTTTGAGTTCATCAGAAGATAGAAACCTACCAAAGAATGTGTGGGCTCTATGGATCATCCAAAGTTAAGGGAGGAAAGGAGACAACAGGGGCAGTGTTGTGACTCTAGTAAATTTAATTGCTGAAAGTGGGGAACTTCTTAAACTAGATATAGTTTTTCCTGATCAGAAAGAAAAAGGAGAGAACAAAAACAGTGATTAAATCACTTAATAAATAAAAAATTATTAAGCCCCCAGACCCAGATGGCTACATGGAATGAACTGAGTTTAGGAAGTATCTAAGCCACCAAGAAAAAATGTGCAATTTCATTAGAAACAGTTATTGTTCCAGAGGACAGGTGTACAAAAAATACAAAATAAGTGTTTAAAAAGTTGTAAGAGTAATGCATAAAAATGTAGACAAGTCATGGACCTCACAAATTATCTCAGACTATAATTTAAATAATAATACAGAAGACTAATAAACCAACACCACAGCTTAAGAGCATCTACCACATTATAATTTTTTTGTAATAAAAATGTCCCTTTAATTTCCCTTTGATTCTCTTCCCCTCATTTCTTTGAGAATTCTTTCATAAAGTGGTAGATAACAGGCAATCAGTCAAAATAATGTAGCTAGACTGTCAAAAAGCCTTAGGCAAGGGAACAGACAAGAGCTATTAAAGAAAGCAAGCAGGGAGGGGCTAAAAGGAAAAGTTTTATTGTGGAGCAGAAGCTGGCCTGAGAAAAAGACATAGATATGAGATTTTAATTCTTGCAAACAGTTAGCAGAGAGATACTTAAAGGATACTGAGCCTGGTCACGTTGATAATTGGGCTGGTTGAGCCCATGACAGGATAAAGTGTTAATGACAAACTTCTTTTCATACCTACAACATGAAACCTGGTTTCATTGTTACAGCTGTAGTTCTTCCCTTCCTCTCTGCCCCACCTCCATCCTTTCCCCTCACTGTTTCCCTTTCAAAGGCAGAAGACCCTGGGCTGGCTCTCAGCCCTTCATCTTTAAGCCTCAAAACCCTGCTCTGCCTTCACCCCTGAGAAGCCCTGGTTGGCTGTAGGCAAAGGGCATAGAGGTGAATGAGATCTGATTCCCTTTCTTTGGCTTGTATAATCAGGATGTCACACAGCATTAGGACAGTAAATTTCCACCAACACCAAGACAAGGTTTAGTCTCCCAAGCTATGTAGGACTAGAAGCCACAAATGGAAAATTCCCAGATTTTAATCCCTGTCTATTTACGAGTCCCAGACAGTGTAAAATACGGGCTGGCAGCTTCATCACATTTAAGTTAGCCAGTTGAAGCTCATTTCAATGCTTCCAACTATGAAACATTTCTTCCCATTTCCAGAATCACTTAGCTCATTCTCCTGACCTTCCAGAAGCCTTGAAGACCCTTTTATCATTGTGTTGTCCATGTAAACAATCCAGCACGTACCATCCTATCTGTTTCCAGCTTACCCTGCTTTCATAAACAATTTTCTGCAATAGGCTTACTCAGACTTTTGTTAACCTCGGACCGGCCCTCTGTGCAACAGTTCTGTGTTGATTTTCTGTTTATTAAACTATCTGTCAAAAAGTAAACCATGAAAGAGAAGGAAGTGCAGATGGCATCGACTTAATTGTGTTAGTCAAGACCAGGAGTGGCAGTGAAGAACATGTGACAGAGCTATGTATGTTAAGTCACCACAGCGGCAAATGGAACTCCATATGGAAGACTGATAGGAAAACTAAGCTGAGGGTAGAGAGAGGGAGAACATAAAAAATCTGCAGACCTTGCAAGTGGCACTATCCACCCCCCTTGAGAAAGCCTTTGTCGCAAACAGGCTAATGAAAACCATTGTTCAGTCTCTGGTTGTGTTGACAAAGGAGAAGCAGGAAATTAGGATGCAGGAGAAATGAGCTGGTAATGTATACAGAGAACCCAGATACTGCTTCATCTGGAATAATGTAAGCAGATCTTGCCTCTGGCATCTGCAGAAGGAATCACAAAGCTGGGAAAGAGAAGTGGGTGATGAAAACAATTAGGGGCCTGGAAACATTCCCATGGAGGGACCGAAGGGATTGAGTCCCTTGGCTTTAGGAAGAACGTGAATGAGAGGGCAGTAAAGGTTTGCAAAATAATTAATAGCCTAGCAAGGGCAGGTTGTGAGAACTATTCTCAAACCTCGTAACAAAGCAATGGACTGAAGAAATGGGAAAGGCAGTGAGACTGAGAGCTGAGCAACACTCAAAGGGTCTGCATGCAAATATAAAAACAAAATATCTGGAACTGTTGCAAAGACTTTGTGGAACAGATAATAAGCTTCATGTTTCAGGGCTGAAGCCGGCCCTTGCTTATAAGCAATCAAGAGGAAGGCCCTCAGGGTAAAGAGATTACTCCATAGATGTTTCCATGGTACATCCCTCCTTCCTTTGGAACATCTGGTGCTGGCAACTGTCCAAAATGGGAGATGGGACTAAGAGACCCTCTCAGGCCCGATACATTTGGTAATTCCTGATTGCCTAAAAATCATTCTAAACTGTAACTTCATTGTTATTCCCTGTGAGCAAACAACTTCGATGCTCTTTATTACTCAGCTCTCCATTTTAGTCCCATGAGATTTTACGAGCCAGATGCTGCACGTGTGTGTGTGTGTACTTAAGGAACACTTCATGACTCCGCAGTTCCTGTATTACCTCAGGGCTTATCTTTGGGGACTCTGCATTAACTGGAATGGCTTTTTTTTCTCTAGCCTCCACAAGTTCAGCCGGCATCAATGAAATCTCAGACTGGACCTCAGCTTGCACAACTGTCACAGCCACGGCCTCCTCCCCAAGGTACAGTTCTTTGGGACCCATGACAATGTGTAATGTGAGATTTTTTTTTTTTTTTAAGAAAGAAAATGAAAGCTATCGGGATAAAGATCTCACTCATTGTTACAATTCACCAACAAGCAGGTAGCAAATTCAGCACGCTGTTAAAGCAGCTGCTGTTATATTCCACAGCAGCTCAGAAAGTGGGGTGAAACTTTGGTACAGATCCACTGGACACTGCTGGTAGGACTTTGTTCAGCAAAGTGAGGCCACTTGAACTGGCCCTGGAGCAGGACTCTGGGCACAGAGTGTATTTGTGTTTGCACAAAGCTGAGTGGCTACAAGAATTAAGAAGTGATGGGAAGATGCTGATGCCACCAGGCTTGGAACAGACATCAACATGGTGATGCCAGGATCCTTGATCCATCTGTCCAGATGTTTCCCTGTCAGCAAGAGCACACTCCCAGCTCCTCCTGACAGCAGATTCATGACTTACATGGTTGGTCAGAACAAATTTGGTTTATTGTCCTGATTTACACTGAGGTGATGAAGCACAGTGCTATCTCATGGATACCCAGACCACACCAACTACTCAATTCACATAACCAATTAGACCTTCCTTTTTTGCCACCTTTGTGCTTTCCTTTCTCCGCCAAAATCTCCTACCAAATTAACACCCACCTCCAATTAACTTTTCCTCATCAGTCACAGTTTTGCTGTAACCAAAATTTGCTATTTCAGATACCAAATGCATCTACATATTCTTGGTATTACATGCTATTGCTGATTGATGACCTTGGAATTGCTGGCTTTGCAGGATCCTACTTCCCCATCCGTCTCCAAAACTCCCCTTCAATTCTCTGTAAAGTTTTTTCCTCATGTTAACTCCCCACTGACCACCTGTGAAATCCAGCCAGCCCTCCCAATGCTATCTGTAACTTTTGTCAGCTTCTCACACTGTTATCTGTCATGTCCAGCAATTTCTCATGTCACTTCCAATTGTTTTCCACATCCTCTTCAGTTTTGAGAGTCTGCTACCAACACAGCTGAAGCCACCTGCTGATAATGCCGGAACAGATGTATGAATAGCAACAGGGTGCACAGCCTTACATCAAACTGCTGGGCCCATGAAGGGACTGCTGACCCAAACCAGCAGATTCAGCTTTCACTTCCTGCAGAGGGTTGGTTCTCCAGCAACTCTTCCTTCCCAATGCAGGAAGTGCTTGCTAAGGATAAGAAATATTAGTTACATGGAAGAGTACAGCATGTTGAAGTGACTCCCTTTGGGGAGAGTGGCAGAGCTTCTTCAGTGCTGAAGGAGGCAGAGAAATAGACAACACTAGAGATGTGGGCACGTCATCAGTGTTAAGCCTATAAAAGAGGTTTTCCCTTATCCTTCTGCATGAAGCTACCCTGAATAGCCTCTCCCCAAAGCAAAATCCATTCTTCCATAGAGATGCTCCTTGCTCATTGTCCACCACATGCACTTCCTCATGTTTACATCTACATGTACCTTTCAGGTGGACCACGCCAGCCTCAGGGACCTCAGCCTCCACGGACAAACGCACCTCCACAGCAGCGGCTCTCTCCTCAAGGACAGCAGCCCCAGAGTCCCCAGTCCACTTCACCTCAGCAGCAAAGGTCACCTGGATCTCCACAACAAGTCCGATCTGCAACTGGGTCCTCCCCAGTCCAGGCTTCCAAGGCAGGCATGTTCCCTCCACAGCAACCTAGACCTCCTGCTCAAGGCCGGGCTCCCAGCCAGCCAAGCCCCACTGAAACAACCAAGCAGCAAGCCACCCCGCAGCCGCATCTGAAGTAGGTGCTCTGTTAAACCACTAATATCTGCAGATATTAGAATAAGGCTGACAAAGTACCCTGAGCTGGCATGAAGAATCTATCACATGTTGTCAGGCAACAGTTCCCAGGGACAAAGGCCTGGACAACTGACCCTGACTTCAGAGGTATATATATGCCTGGGCATAACAGGCCACCATTGAACTGCTGTCAGAAAGAACAAGTTGTACTTCACATCTCTAAGATTTCACATCCTTCCTCACGTTCATGTGCTCATTGTTTATTATGTGCTCTACCCTGGCCGTATCAACACTGCCCCGACCTTCCCAGCAGGGTGTATACTCCTTACAGGCTGTAATCAGCACATTATTAGTCAGAGAGCTCAAGAGTCATTCCTCCACTATTCCCTGAATGCAGGAGCCACACAAGGTTCTTTACTAGGCAATTTTTTGCAGTTGACAGCAAAAAGACAGAGGAGCGGGGGGAAGTGGTACTACTCTGTATATATGAAACTCCAGATGGTGACTGTATGTTTAAGTGCTCTTCTAAAGCAGAGCACACCACTGAATTATTGCTGATCTTTGGTAGCAGCCTTTGCTGCCACCATTCATAGCTGCCACCATTCATAGAGCGTATCTGGCTGGCACCATGGCAGGTAAGACTGGCAAAAAAAATGTTTGGCGTTGACAAAGTCAACACAACAGCAAACTGGTGTGAACAGGCCAGAACAAAATATAGGCTAGGAATGAGAAGACGGTTTCTAGAGAGCAGAGGAGTGATGTTCTGGAAAAGGCTTTCAGTGATGATGTCTACATTAGCGAGGCAAACCAAGGACAGTGTACTTCAAGATCAAAATGTTGGTGCTAAGGATGCAATCACCACACTATACATATTTCAGGTAGCTTAATTCAGAGTCTTGTCTTGTGCTGAATGCTATTACTGACCAGGAGAAACCACTCAGAGACAGAGCACTGTAGCAGGGAAAATTGGGATATTTACTTCAAAAGCACAATCCTGATCTAACTTAGCAGATACACACCACAGGAACAGTGTGGCCAACCAAAAGACCTGCATCACACAGCTGACAGACAGAGCAGACATGCCAGGGAGGGCAGGCAACAGCACACTTTGCAGGGGACATTGCTAACAACTTGCCAAACCTCATGCTCTCACATCTGAAAAGACAGGACCATCATTCATGATATGGCTGATGACAGACAGGTGACCCTGAGTATGAATCCTTTCTTCTGTATTAGTAATGGAATTATTTAACTGTTCCTCACAACAGCTGAGATGGACTGTTAAGTGGCTGGTGGGAAG